TTAAGAGGGTTGAAATTCATTGTTTATTGCCAGGAATCGCTGCTTTTTTTTTAACCAAAAAAAAAAGAAAATCTCGAGCGGAATCGACTGACGTTCAAAACGGTGAGCAATCAGGGTCTGGGTCACGACCGGCTGCACCTCCATTGCCTCCAATTTCAAGCGTTAAATGGACTGTTGATGGAAAAGAGCGACTCGTGTCAAATCTTGCTTCCTTTGAAATTTCGCCCACAAAACCCTCGGCCGATTCACTTTACAGTGTATCCCGCGAAGCGCTTGGAGACGTCTCGACGACGCGATGAGGCGCAGCGTCAAAAATGCAGGGATTATTATTACTTTTATTATTATAAGTATCATTTAAGGGTTATTATTATGTTATAAATTGATAACTGGGAGTATGGGGGAAGTGTGTGGGGTGGGGTGGGGTGGGGTGGGTTTGGGGGGCGGGTGGTGGCGGTGGCTTTCTAGTACATGTTGATTCCCAGTGGGAATTTTTATTAACGAAACCAACGTATCAATCAATCCATGGAAGCTCCTGTCGGACTCGGTCTACTTTAACCCTAACCCTAAGGCTAACCCTAACCCTCCGGCTTTGCCACAGGTTGTCAGGCCATTTGTCAACACGAAAGGAATTCCCTCACGTGGAAGAGATTCCTCATTCGGATCTGGGAAGCCCAGGTTCAACAACAACAACAACCGCAACCTGAATTTACAACGGCCTCCTTCTCCCAGGCTAACGTCTCGGAGCCAGGGTGGGACGCAGAGGTAGTCTTCAAGGCGGCATTGATAGACAGATTGCGGGGAGGCGGGGGAGGAGGCGAGATAGAGGGAGGGAATTTCAGAGATTCCATCAGTGGCAGAGTATCTGGAACGTCCACCTGAACAGGCAGACGGGACCTGGGTTGAAGCTCTCATCATCTAAAGGACGGCACCCGTAGCTCTCCCCGCACTCCCCCAGCACGTCAACAAGTCAGTGTAGACTTGTGAGCTCAACACCCCCCCCCCCCCCACCACTTCACCCCTTCGAAATAAATCCAGACACGAGGAACATTTAACTTTTTATTAAGAAGACAAGAACGCTTCAGTAGTTTTTTTTTTCTTCCTGTAAAAATGGCATACATGAACTTATACAAAAAATGTGCATGGGAACCATATGACCTCTATTTAATACACAACATTGCCCATGTACACCAAAGAAAGAAAATGACCGAAGCAAAACAGCTTTTAGTGCCTAAAGATCGAACCTAAGGGCATTTAAAACACAGCAAGAATCTTCCGATTTATTCTGGGGAGAAATTCCTTCCCGGGATTAGTTTTTTTTCATAGCATTTCTAGAGCATCCCAAAGTTACTTAGCATTTTTTTTTAGAGCACGGCACACTCTTAAACACAGCCGTAATTTCGCCCACAAAACATACAGTCAATTCACTTTAGAGTATATCCCGTGAAGCGCTTTGAGACGTTCTCAAAGACGTCGTGATAAGGCGCTGTATCAAATGCAAGGATTATTATTATTATTATTATTATTATTAACTTTCTTGCAAGAACCGACTTTCAACCTATTGATTGAAAATTGAAAATGCGAGGGATTATTAAAACTCCTGATAACTCGGACCCTGGCCACTCAAGTCATCACGCTGTCAACATCCTCGGCTGCACATATGCTTAACTCGTCACTCCGGACAACTCACCACTGAGCCCTTTCCACTCGGCGGTGTTGAGCAATCAGGAGTTTGCGGTATAATAATTGATATCTAATTTATTGCCAAATTCCGGACTGTCTTGCAAATGCAACGGAAACGCAGAGTGAACCGGGAGGAATTTTCTTCCAGACTCAAAGTCTCGATCATTTTTTTTGTCAAACGTCTTTGAAGGAAAATTAAAAAAAAAAGCAATTTTGCACATTACCTGCGATAGATAGATAAGATAGATAGATAAGATAGATAGATAGCACGTGACAAAACCCAATTGCTTTTGAACTAACTCTGTACAAAGTAATACATATCACAATTAAAACAGTGCACTGCGATCTTTTTTTTTCCAACAAAAAAAAAAGGCTTCACTCGGGGGAAGAGGGGGGGGAAAAAAAAAAACATGTACAACTAAAAATAAAAACACACGCGCTGGATTTTAACACGTTTTTTTAATCGATGTGTGGGGGGCATGTCTTCTTTGCACTTCACCTGAGATGCAAAAAAAGCCTGTCACAACACATTCCTGAGACGTGGCAAATCTGTTTTGTATTTTGTCTTAAAAAGAAATCGTCAAATAAAAGGCTTACACCAGTATCACTGCTACACTGTGGAACAAACCGAACTAAGGAGGTTTAAGGGGGTTGAGGCAGGAGAGGTGTAGCGGAGAGATGGGGAGAAGAGGGAAGGGGGGTGAGGGTGGGGAGGGTGGGGGGGATGGGGGGGGATGGGAATGGGTGGGTTGGGAAGGGGGTTAAAGTGGGAGATGTCAAAGTGGAGCTGACTGTGAATGCGAATGGCTGTCGACCCCTGAAATTCACCCCACGGAGACGGTTTTTGCCTTGAAATTTAAAAGGGGGCGCAGGATTTCGCCCGGAAAATTTTCCGACCCGTTCCCGACTTGGAAGCTGGATTAACCTCTTCCTTTTATCTAAAAAATCCCCCCCCCTCCCCTCCCCTCCGTAAAAACGGGTTTCAAATGAATGCCATTTCCCATGATTAGGTGTTGCCTTATAATTTTTTTTGCCACAGTCTCACACACACACACACACACACACACACAGGTAGACAAGACAGTCTCACAACACAGAGTCAGAGACACAGTCACACACACACACACACAAAAAGTCTCAGCAGGCGAGGAATTTCGCGGCCTTTGGGTGAGAAAATATGAAAACAGCGACGAGACATTAAATCTCTCTCTCTTTTAGTGTTTTCAGCGCAGCCCCTTCGCCGATGGGCTGCGGAAATCGTTTTCTTTTGTCGGCAGATCAAACGCAGCTGCGCTTGTGTTGCCGAGTACCCTTTCGCAGACGCTCGAAGCGGCTCCCGGTTTTGCGTCTATCTGGGAGCCTGGCGAGGTGCCTGAAGAAAGACCTTCCTAGTCTCGTTTGAAGTAAAACACGGGGTCCAACCGTGATAACATCACCCTGCGTCCAACTGCCTTGCCCCTTTTTGTTTTAAACGCTCACTGGATTCGCCAGACTCCCGGCGAGTCTGTGAATTCCAGCACAAACAGAGACCCTCACTCCCTATCTCCTCCTTTTTACCCCCTCCGCGTAATCTAAAAGCGATCTGCATCTTATAATCTTATAATCTTATAATCTCTGACCCCTCCCTCCACACACACACACACACACACGCACACACACACGCGCGCGCGCACACACAGAGCAAATAAGAAATTTAAACCTAATGAACACTTTTCCATAAAGCTAAGTCACATCCGAATCGGACTGTGCATCTGTCAGTCACGGGACCACTTCTGTCTCATTATATCCCTTCGCTTGCAACTGTGCTGGGCGAGCTCGGTTGTTACGAGACTAAGTTATCTGAATGGTTTTGTACTTTAAATTGATTACGGGGTGGGTGGGGGGTGGGTGGGGGGGGTGTTGGCCGGAGGAATATGGAACGATCATCAAAAATGCCAATGATTTAAAAAAAAAATCACAATTCTCCCCTCTTCCCTCTCCTCCTGACACCCAGGCGAAAGATAAGAAAAAAAGAGATGTAGCCAAGATTTTTGATCTGATTTAGCACCTCCTTTCCTTTAAACTTGCTCTCCCTCCCTTTTTGATGCTTATTCAAGAGAGGGGTGGGGGTGGGGGGTGCATATTAAATGCACGATACACAAGGAACTTCTATTAAATACTACAGCCTTCTGTACAGTGTTTGATCAATTTTAATTAAACCTTTTGTTAAATAGATTACAAATAGCATTATACAATGGCACGAGGACTAAGCCACAAGGATTCAGTGGCTCGGTTCAAAAAAAATAAACCACACACTATTTCTCAAGAGATCTGTACAGACAGTCCACACAGTAAAGCAGTGTATTTTTCTTAATTTTTTTTAAAGAGAGGTTCTTGAATATAATAAGCCCCGCGTTGTGACTGAGAAAGGAAAGGGATAAAATAGGGCCTTTTAAACCAACGGCTGTTCTTGATGGGTCAAAAGATTTTGAGTCACTCCAAAGTTCAATGCATGCCATTGGGCTGCCTCTCTCATGTGTGCGTGTGCGTGTGTGCGTGTGTGTATATGTGTGTGTGTGTATATGTGTGTGTGTGTGCGGAGAGGGGTAAAGAGAGGTGGAGATGGGGGAGGAGGGGAGAGAAGGTGTGGGGGAGAAGGGGGAGTTGGGGGGAAAGCACCCTTGCTGACAGGGAAATCACGGAAGTGGACAGATACCCTTTTTTTTCGGTTGTTTTTTTTTCTTGGCAAACAAATTGGTGAGAAGTAAGGCCAATTTGGGAGAGGGAGGGAGAGAGAGAGAGAGAGAGAGAAGAAAAAAAAACTCAATGATGAGATTCCTTGTTAAAAACAAGAGCCGTCGGAACAAAACTGGGTCGCAACTGTGATGGAACTCCAAATCTGTCCGCTTGCTACAAAGGCACAGACCTCAGCTGTCAGGTCTGGTTAGGTTTAGGGCCATCATTAACCGAGTTGCGTCAGTTACCCAGAACACAGAGAGACAGTTTGAGGTACCCTACATCGTACAGAGAGAGAGAGAGAGAGATAGAGAGAGAGAAGCGAATGAAATCAAGACTAGATCTCGCCGCAAGAAAGCCTCACTTGCAGAAAAGTGCCCCCAATCCATCCGTGTCCCTCTGCGTAAACCGAACTGCCCCACCGGCTCACCTCACCTCACCTCACCTCAACGCTCGCGGAAAGAGAGAGAGAGAGAGAGAGAGAGAGGAGAGGCGAGAGAGAGAGAGAGAGAGAGAGAGAGAGAGAACTTGTCAACGCGAATACCCCCCCCCCCCCCAAAAAAAAAGGAGACGAGAAACTAAACAGAAGGGGGAGGGAGCATTTGTTTTTTTTTTGTGTGTGTGTGTCAAGTCCGTGGAGCTTCCGAAATGGCAATTCGATAAAAGGCTGGAGAGTTTTTGCAGGGAAAACAAGGCACGGAGTTTTCTGCAAATGAGATGCTAAACTAAGTCCCCAAGTCTGGCTAGGCGTTTACAGAGGTGTCAAACCGTGGAACTCAACGAGGTCTACACACACCGTTCCCCCACCCTAACCCCTAATCTACGCAGTGTCTCGAATGTGACCGCAGGACTGTACTAAACCGTGACTTCTTTTCGACAGTTGGACACCTCGGTGGCAACTGTGCGCTCTCGCTTCCGCTTTAGATGAAGTACTCTTTCTTCTCCTCGGAGTTGTTGTGCCCGCCCTCGGCGTTGATGATGGCGGTGTCGGCGTCGGCGGCGTCGTCGGCCCCTTTGGCTTCGTGCGTGAAGTACGTCCCTGCGAACGATCGCGAGAGAGGGGGAGAAGGGGAGAGAGAGAGAGACCGTCAATGCAAAAACCCCTCACGGATGTTTGCGCACAGATGGGTCCCACAAACGGCCACGGAGTGACCGACCATTTTATTTTATTTGAGGGATTGTTGGCCAGGACACTGAGGGAGGGAGAGAGAGAGAGAGAGAGACGGAGAGAGAGACGGAGAGAAGGAATGAAATCAGACTAGATCTCGCCACAAGAAAGCCTCACTCCCCCACAGCGCTGCGCTGGATTGTCAGCTCAGACCGTGTGATTCCGAGTCCGAATGTGGGGACTTTTCTGACTCGGGAGGTGTGTGTTAGAGAGAGAGAGGGAGGGAAAAGGAGAGAGAGAGAGAGAGCGCGCGCTACCTGTTGAGCCAGTCTGACGCACAGAAGCACGAAAGCGCTCCGAACAAAATATCGGGAAGTAATCGCGCTGCGGGTTGTGTGTGTGGGAGTTTGCGCAGGACACCACGGCTGTCTGAGACAGAGTTAGGTGTCAGGAGAATGGAACGAGGGCGATGTACAAGGCACGTAAATTAGCGATTCGCAGCCACTGCTGAGACACAACACGGCCAATCCTTTCACTGGCTGAACGCAAACTGACGATCGCCCTGAATTACAGCCGCCGTTAGGAGTGCCTTCCTGTGCGCGTCTTATCATGACACACTTGCAGGGAAGCAACAGGTTTCAAAACCTGAATTAAAAAGTTGCGAAGGTTCCCCCTCCCAGAGAGACCGTTTAACCCTCCTGCCACCTCAGCCGCGGAATAAATCCGAGACTTGGGGGGGGACTTGGGGACAGTCAGCCCCTGCTCGAGAGTATCCAAACCAAGCCGAGAATTCCAGTGCATCCCAACTAAACACGGAAATCCCAGAGATGGGATGGCTGGAATGGAACCCCCCCTCTCTCTCTCTCTCTCGCTCTCTCTCCTCGGAGAGAACGCATCCCGCTCAGCTAATTACGGAAAGCATTGAAAGCCTTTCACGTCGAGAGGACGTCCCAAGGCGCCAGACAGTCAGGGGTTTGGATCTGGGCAGGGGGTTCGGGATCAGGAGGGGGTGTCCGAGAGCACCATCCGAAGGCGGTGAGTGAGCGAGTGAGTAAAAACCCGGGCAGCGGCTCAGTGGACAACGCAGCGAGAGCACGCGCGAACCGAAGGGGCAGGGAGTGGGGGAAGCGGGGGGGCGGGGGGGGGGGGGGCGCGTGGGGAAGGGGGGAGTCCCGTTCCTTTGCGGCTCACCTTTGTGTCTCGCGAAGTATCGTCCGAGAACAATCAGCAGGCACAGAATGGCGAACACCACCACGGCAACCACCCCACCGATCACGGCGTGGTCCACAGACCTCGGCACCTCCGTGCCCGCTCTGGGGTCTGTTAAAGAGTGGAAAGCGAGAGAGCCTTTGGGTCAGACACAGCTGGTTACCAAGAAAGACTTTTAACCCCCCCCACCACCATCCCCCGCCCCCTCACCCCCTCCAAACCCGTCGCACTCATCCCCGTCAAACCGCTCGCATTCAGGGCGAGGAAATCAATGCACAAAGATATAATCTCCATTGTCCGTCCACCGCTCTGTTACCGTAGACTTGTTTTCCTCGTGTGCGCGTGTGTGTGGTTTTTTTTTGGCCACACGAGCGATACATAAATCCGCACAGTCAAACCCCAATAATAAGATGAATCAGTTCCAAAAGTCAGGGCTGTCATCTCTTGATCGCAGGAATCCAGCACGGAGTTAGACAGCAGCAGCAGCGGCGATAACTTACATCCGTCTCTCTTCTGCGTTCCGAGAACATCGGTCTCTCTTAAAAGAACCGTTTGGGAAGCAACAAAGCAGCTTAAATCTCGGGAGCCACAGCACTAAATGAGATTCAACCGCAACAGGTTAAAACGCACGAGCGGTTGAACGGTTCTGGCTGACGACCGCCCTTAAAAGTCACGGCAAAAGGGAAAAGAAAGCAACTACGTTATAAAGACAAGAGGACCGCAGCTGCACAGACTGCTCAGGACGGGCTTTAAAACGTGACTGCAACGGCGAGAGAATAACCGCCAAACTCTGAAGTCGTTTTTTTGCTTCGCATCACAGTTACGTCCGAGCTTCAATCTCTCCCGATAGGAAGCACTGCAATCCGTCTTACGACCGGTGCAGCGGAGAGAGAGAGAAAGAGACAGAGAGTGAAAGAGAGAGTAAACGAGAGCTAGAGGGCAAAAGGATGGATCTGCACTTAAAACTGTCCACGTTAGGAAAAAGCGCGAGTGTTTATCAGTTCGCTTTAAAGGAAGATTTTATATTTGATTGATCCGGCTAACAGAAAATTCTTCTTTCAAGGCTGAAGACGGTGCAGAGAAGCTGTGGGAGTTTTATCGATCAGGTTCGGAGGAGTGTGACAAGGAGAGGAGGTTACGGTGGTCTCTGGGGGAAGAGAAGTCCAATTCATCAGTTTCTACACAATTTACACCTTCTAGGTTCCCATCAATTACTTTCTAAATTAATAGCAATTGATTCGGGTGCATTAACCTCTTGAAAAATGCTTTGGAACGTTACAAAAGAAATCCATTTATTATTGTGCTTTTTAAATTATTATTGTTATAATGTAAAAATATGTGCACCAGTGTTTTCTGTCGGGTGATGGTGGTGGGGAGAGGGGTGAGATGCAATATTTTCATGTAAATTCAATAGAAATTAAAACTCAAAATGGCCATTCGAAACGCCAAATCCCTCCGTGTTGGGAGCACGTGCATCACTGAGTCGCCAGAGCCCTGTCCCGCGCTTTCATCTGTCCTGGTCCTGCCAAATCCTGTCACGGCCAGGTACGTTTCAAGTGTGTGCGTGCTTGCGTGTGTCTGCGTGCGTCCTCTGTGCACTTGCGTCGAGATTCGGTACTCTCTATGCGCGTGTCTTCTCCTGCACCAAGCTCCGTGAGAGCCCATCCTTGCTCGGCTCCGCTGAGGATCGAGTTCAAGATCCTCGTCCTCACTTTCGAAGCTCTCCGCTATCTTGTTCCTTCCTACCTCAGCGACCTGCTGACGCCTGGCCAACCTTTCTGCTCTGCTCCCTCCGCTCGGAAGCCAGTGGTCTGTTCCATGTTCCCCCACCCTGCCCTCTCCACCATCGACGGTTTGGCCTTCATCCTGTCCGCCCCAAATCCTCTGGAACTCCTTCCCAGAGTCTCTCCTCCTCCCTTGCCTCCTTCAAGGCGCGTGTCAAGACCTTCCACTTTGACCGCACCTCCCACAAGCTTCTCACCCCATGGCCCTCTTCCCTCTTGATCCCAACCCCCAGCTCGGGCGCAAAACCTCGACCAGCCAACCCATTCAGACGTCCTCCTGATGTGAAAGGCGCGGTGTAAATGTTGTTGTGCGAGTGTCTGTCTGTGTGTGTGTGAGTGCGAGTCTTTGTGTTGGACCCTTCTAGTTTGGACCTCCTCTCAAACCTCCTTCTGTCTCTGAGACAAACTCCTTTAAAAAACACGCAAACAGAACACCTCCCGCACCTCGACTATGGGCAATATATAGAAAAATTATGAGTGTTTGAGATCGCACAGTCGGCACAGATCCACTCCATTGACCCAGCGCTGTCCCAGAGACAGGGCTCGCGTTTTTTTTTTGAAGCTATAAGATGGCAACAGTCTTCTATCTCAGCAGTGCTGAGGAAATTAGATTTTTGCTTCTTACTCTTTGAAATCTTAGCGTCAATCGATGTCCGGCTGAAAAAATTAGGACGCAGGTTTCGAAACCAGTCCATCGGGCAAGCGACTGGAGTTTGCATTTTGCAAAATAAAAATCGAACGATTAGGAAATTAAGATAACGCAACACACCCCCCCTCTCCCCCCCCCAAATAGCATCAGGTTTGCACCTGTGCATTTACTTAATAATAATATGAATTTACATTACTAATTTATGATACGAATGATAGTATATCTTTGCAGTTGATACAGCGCCTTATCACGTCGTCGTTGAGATTCTTCCCAGAATATGTTGCAGAGTGAATTGACTTGTATATTTTTGGGGCAAAAATTCTTTTTCTTACGCTTCAATTTAAAGTATTCGATATTTACAAATACTGAAACTGTTTTAACTTTTTTTTAAAAATCTGATTCGTTTTTGCCTCCAGGAAAGTCTGAGTTGTTGGAAATATTACTCTTCAAGCCTCGATTCGCTCTTTGTCCTTACCTCCTCTCCAGGAGCCTTCCCCTCTGTCTCATTCCCATTCCGCCTTTGACCCTTGGGAATGCCCTCTCGCCTCTCGTTGTCTTTCTCTCAGCGAAATAATTTTGTTTCCTTTCCTACAGATTCTTTAGCTTTGTACATCGTGGGTTCCTCATTCTCTTATCCGTCCTTATCTCTCACAGGCTCCTTCCGTGCGTAGGTGGGATGCACGGAATCCTCAGTTGGGTTTGGATGCTCCTAAGCCACGGTGATGGGTTTCCGCATTTGTCAGATATTCGGCTCTTCAAAAAAATGACAAGCTCCTGACTCTCTCTTGGCTCTTCTTCCCACTTTCATCCAGTGACACTAGCTTCGTTCCAGGCCATCTGTTGCCCGGGCTTCCGTGTCCCCTCTATGGCTGAGCTCGACCCCTTCTTATTCTCCTGGGGGAGAGGGGAAGGTGAATGGGTCTCCTTGGAGCTGAACTGGTTCCAAAGTGACACGCGAGGCAATGGATCGAGCCAGCCCTCTCTCTGGTAGTTCCTGAGCCAGGCAGGTCAACAGTGCTCCAGGACGTCACAGCATAGCCCATCGGCACATAGGATAAGTTCCTCCAGGGAAAGAAAGAGAGAGAGAGCATATTCCATTCCATTCCAACCATCTATCTCTGGGATTTCCATGTGTGGGTGGGATGTATGGAATTCTCAGTTTGGTTTGGAGACTCTTAGAAACGTGGTGATGGGTTTCCGCGGACACCCGGCTGACCCCTCCCCCCCAAAAAAATCTTCACTTCTTTAACACAGCTTCCTTATCGATGCTAGCTTCTCTTCTGCTCAGCAAAAGGCCATTCCTGATGTTCATCGAGCTCTTTTCTCTGTTGTAACCCAGCATGTCTCAGTACGGCAGCTGAGACGAACTAAAGACCTTCCTTTTGCACCCAAACCCCTCAAAAAAACAACTCTTTTAAACACCAGGAGTTACCTGGCCTATCCACACAACAGCAACATAAGAACATAAGAAATGCTGGACGAAAGAAGACCAAGGTCCTTCTAGTTCACCTGGCAGTCACTACTGCAGCCAACAGAACTGTACACAGTACTCCAAGTACGGTTTCGCCAATGATTTATGCAGTGGTAAGGTTTCGGCTTGCTAATGATCTTTTGATGGATCCCAACATCTGGTTTGCTTCACTCACTGCCACAGAGCATTGTTGGGAGAGCTTCAATTTACTGTCAATCAGGAGCCCCTCCAGCTTTGCAATCTACTATCTCCATTAGCTTGGTGTCATCTGTAAACTTAGCCGCTGTGCTTGCGACTCCTAGTTCCAACCAACAACGACTTGCATTGATCCAGGGTCCTTCACGTAGAAGGATAAACATCTCTGAGCGCTTCACAGTGGCAGGAGGAAGTGGAGTAAGGGTGGGGGGGGGGGGGGGAGGTAGGTTTTGAAGATAATGTAATAATCCTTGCATCTGATATTGCACCTTATGTTGGTCGAGAAGACTCAAAAGCGGTTCGCAGGGTATATGGACGAGAGCTGCCGAGTTTGCAGAGAGAATTTTCTCGCCTCAGAACGCACTCGACATTTCACCTTCAACCCCGTGAAATGCAGACCCACCTGACTGAAAACGCCAAGTTATCTGACTGAACTAATCTGTTAGCGTGGGGAATCTGGCATGCCTTCGCGGTTAATAAACAGCTCTGCAAACTTGAGCAGAATATCTTTCAGCGAGCAGAACATCTCCCATTATTGTTTTCTTCGGGGAAACCTAACGAATTAGAAAGATAACTCTCCTCTCCCTCTCACGTGGGAGCTTTAGATTTCGTAGCCTCCTGACGTTTAATCCACTCGAATCTGAAGGGGTTGAAATCTTAGCACGGAGATACTGCTCTCTTTCCCAAGGTCTGCACTTTGCCTCACTGGAGTATTCTGGCCTTTGCGCTCAAGGGCTTTGGGAGAAAGGATTAATCTCACAAGATGTCAAATATCTCATCATTTTAATGCCCTTCAGAGACACGAGCCTGGGAATGATACTTAACCCCGTGTAAGTCTATTTACTATCAGTCCACTTGTTGGTGAGTGCATGCTCTTGCAAGCAAATTAGTTCTTTTATCCCCCCCTTTCCCCCCCGTAATGCAGCCCAGACTGACCCTGCAGGGACCACAGTAAGCTCGGAGGCTCTGTCTTTTGGACAAGAATTAAACCAAGGTCTTATCTGCCTGTTTG